TATTATGCAAAAAGTGCCATGGACCCTAAACTCCTAAAATATGCAAAACGGATCCTAAACTTCTAAATTTATAGTAAATTACTCCCATCATTAACTTATACTTAATGACATTATTGTTCACCATGGGACCCAGTTAAATGTTGATATGGCAGTCCCTTGCGATGCGTCATTTGTTAATAAACAATACAGACTTTAAACTATTGCACAAGTAGCATCTTGGACCTTAAACTTTGAACTTTAGAGCAAATTACCTCCATTGTTTATGTGTAGAATGTTAACTATTATGTAGACTAAATTAGCCTCAGCGTGGTCCACTATGGTGAACACATTGTTGGCTATGACGAAAGACCCATAATTTTATGAAATGATTTTTTTGCCCCCTTTTTTAATTTTTTTAAATGATTGGTATCTCATGTTTTTTTTATACTCTATAACTTTAATTTAATCTTATTTTAAATAATATTTATTTAATGGTAAAAAATTGGAATCCCATTTGAAAATAAGTTTAAATATCAAAAGATTGTAATTAACTAGTTAATTTGAGTTTTAAATTCATTGATGAAATTATCAGCTTTTGCATCCATCGTCTGTAAAATTCTCTGATATTTAAACTTCTTTTCAAATGAGGTCTCAAGTTTTTACCATTAAATAAATATGCATTATTCAAAATAAGATTAAATCAAAGTTATAGAGTATATGAAAGCATGAGATACCAATCATCTAGAAAAATTGCAAAAAAAAGGGAGAAAACATCATTTCACAAAATTATGAGTTGTTTGCTGTGACCAACGATGCGTTCATTGTGGCAAACCATGCTGAGGCTAATTTGGTCTACATAATAATCAATGTTAAACATGTAAACAGTGGGATAATTTGCTCTGGATTTCAAAGTTTAAAGTCTAGTATACTACTCTTGCAATAATTTAGGGTCTGTAGTGCTCATTAACAAATGATACATCAATAAGGGATTGCCATGCCATTATTTAACTAGGCCCCATGGAGAATAGTATGGTAAATAGTAATGACATTAAGTATAACTTAACAGGGGCGGGTAATTTGCTATAAATTTAGAAGTTCAACATCCAGTTTGCATATTTTAAAAGTTTAAGGTCTATGTCACTTTTCGCGCAATATTTTATGGTCCAGAATGCTCATTAACCCTTAAAAAATTTTCAAAGTGAAAGAAAGAAAGAGAGACACGTTGAATTTGAAGAGAAAACAAAAAATTAAAAGTGATAAGCTCTATTTTATACATTTATAATAAAATTTTACCTAATGGAAAACAATGTAAAAACAATTCATATCAAAGAAAATGATAATTTTAAATCAGCATTTAGTGTAAAAGCCTATTTTAAGGTGGCAGATTCCTAAATAAATTTTTTATATTGTTATGTGAACCAAAAGAATTAGAACCATGAGGGACAGACAGGATCCTCATGACATGATATTCAAATCAGTTCAAGAATCAAGAGGGACAAACATGATCCTCTTGATCATAATAAATGCAATTAATAAAAAGGATCAGAGTCTATATGCTCCACAAAATAAGATGTCTTAAATTGGCACTAGATACATTGTATGATCCAAAATAAGAGACAACATAAAAGATGGTGTCTCATACACCAAAGTTACGTCTCTGGTGCTTTCTCGGCCGAACTCGCTCCTGTAAAAATATTAACCATAGGGAATGAGACTTAAAAGTCCCAGTAACCAAAAATTAATATGTAATGTTGCATATAAATATAACTAATCATGCAATTGCTAAGTGGGCACATAAAAACATTTAACCAAACAGTATTTCCAATTAAACCAAACAAGTATTTAAATGCATGACTACACCTTATATCCTCCTTTCGCCATGCTTGGATGTCAAATCATCCAGCCAAAGGTGAGTTGGACCAAGCTACACGCCACTCATTGGGTCTAATGAGGGCTTACCACGTGGTAATAATTAACCAAACAAAAATTCCCAATAATATCATATATTAAAATACCCTGACAAGTCATGCATCATTTAAATATCCAAACAAAATAACCGAATAATAATATCTCATCATGATAAACAAAAATAAATTTTGACCCACTTGGCAATAATTCCAAACAAGTATGTAACAGTATTTATTTTTAATAATTCATAATTTTTCCAAACAATAAAACAACACATAACCAATCACATACACACCCATCACAATACATTAATAATGGTTACATTGTGTCTTGGATAACAAGTTCCCCTTCACAACTCCTCTTTCACCACTCTCTTTATCAATACAATCTACGTAATTATTCCATAATACTATATATTAATTTTACATTAAAATTAATAAATGACTCTAATTTAAAGAGTTAGAAAATCTTAGGCCTAAGATCCATATTAACACTAATTTAAGGTGTATGCCTCATTTAACTTTTCAAATTCTTTTTCTAGAATTATCATACCCTAATAAACTATATTTAAGCCTCAAATCACTTCTAGTATCACAATTTCATCCTTCTATATTCTAAAAATTTCGTCCAAAAATAAATTAAAAATTTAGAATTATCCTAAAGCCTCAAAGCACCATTCTATAGCCTTAGAAATACATATTCATACTTAAATAAATATTTAATAATCAAAGGTTTAGCCCTACATCTCAGATTCAATATAAATTCAACCGTATAGATCTAGAGTCTAACTCAAAAATTCTTTTACATGAGTTTCAACCTTAAAAAAATATTCTATAATATTTATTATATTCCTAAACTTCAACCTGTATTTTTAATCCATCATATCATCAGATTAACTATCTTATAGAAAAATCCTAATCAAAATATTTGCTTTACTATACAAAATAATCATATCATTAGAAAGCTAATATTATTTAGGAAATAACTACGAAATTAATTTTGTAACTAAGTAATTTTTTAAATGCTAATCTAAACAGGAAATTTAGAGCATACCTGAAGACAAAAGAAAATAAACCCCCTTGCAAGGTAGAGCAATGTGAGAGGGAGAGAGAGATGGGAAAAAATAATATAAAAAAAGGATTGTGGGTCCCACAATTATATTAAAAAAAGACTATAGATTTGAATTTAATTATTCAAACTCTTGGGCCATAAGTTGCAATTTCCTCCAAATTACATCTTATCCTTTCATGTTTCCTAACACATGTACCCCCCTCCTTTTATACATAGAGACACTTCTTCTCTTCCCATATCTAGGTGGGACTTAGAAAATAACCTTTCACTTTTTTTTTTGTTCCTTCCACCTTCTCTTTTTTTTTTACTAACACACACACAAAAAAAAATTATTTATATATTCTAAATTTTAAAATTATATCTTAACTAAATATTTTTTATGTGGTTTTAAATTTAAATTTTTAATCCATAATTAAATGCCTAACCATAATATTACTTCCGAATAACCTTAAATAATATAAATTCTTATTATTATCATTTTTTTATCCTCAATAAAACCTAATTCCACAATTTCTTTATTATCTAAAAATTAGGATGTTACACAGGAAGTGCTTGTTTAATCCTGGAGAACTGCTGGTCCGTCGTTCCGGTGTGTCGGAATAGTTCTTAAGGACAGTGTCCTTCCGGGCACGACTCAAGCAGTTTATAGTTCGCTATTCATGTCTGTCGCCGGTGCCGCCAACAAGTATGAATTTAATGACTTAACCATAGGGTTCCATAACAGAATAAAGGCTCATAAATCCAATCTTCAACACAAACTACTCATAAGTTTAGTGACATAATTGTTTAATGATATAATCGTAAAGTTTAATAACAAAATAAAGACTCATAACTCTCCACTATAAACATGAAGTACCCATTGCCTTTTCCTGTAAAGTGTCATGTTAAGAAAAATTTCTCTCCATTCAGGGTCGTTCTTCAAGGTTTTCAAGGCTTCCATATAAGCATCTTCTTGAAGGTATGCCATCTCGTTAAGAGCAATCATACACTTGGCAAGAGAATAATCCGGCGAAGAAGAAGCGGCCTCCTTACTTCTCTCACCTTATTTGCTTCAGCCCTTGTTGCAAGTGCTTCACTCATTTGAACTTCAGCCATAATATCTATGAAAGCTTTAGCTATTAACTCAGGCCACATCTTTGAATCAGTTTCTTCCATCTGCCATCAGAATGACAATTAGCCTCGAATATGAAATAATTTTATTGAATTTTAAAGGGACAACTGGAGCATAAAGTTAGAATAGCAAATATGAAAATGTCGATATAGATGGTTGGGGGCATATACTAAAAGATAAAATCTGAAATACAAAATAATTTTATTGATTAAATACCCACAGAGTCAACTCAACAAAAAATCATCGATTAAAGTACATTTTTTTCCTTTAACTATTCATTAGGGAGATCCTAGAGCCCTAAATTTAGATTTAATGTAATTTCTCTCTTCAACATTTAAAAATGGTGCACCAGGCATCTTGTTATTAAAAAGTTAACTTTAACTGTTAGTTAATTGACTTAAAAATTTTGGAAAAAGACATTAAAAATTACCAAAAATGACAAAAAATATACATAAATACCTTATAAAAAATTAATAGTGTGTAATTTATAAGTCTTCCACCAAAATTTATAAATCCTTCTTTAAAAATTTATAACTAAGGTACAAAATGCATTCATTTATAAATAATACTATTTGTAAATTTTGGAGGAAGAGTTAGAAATGATCGCACTATTTTAGGGACTTAATTGATATTAATTTTTAAAAAGAGTTTTTTATTTTTAAATTATTTTCTATATTTTTTAAGTAATTTTTTTCAAATACCTGGCCCTATTTACAGGCCCGACCCACACCAATTTTAACGATCGTGCACGATTCAAATTCCCCAATTCAAATTTGAAGCTAATTCCCAGATCACAGAAAGCATTCCTTCATGAATGCCCAGACTTGAAGAGATGAAAACGAAGCTGAGAATGAATGAGATGAGAGTAAAAGAGATACTATACCTTACCATCACCGGAGCACGAAAGTGAGAGCAAGTTGAGCGACCGACGACAGCGACGGAGGCGCGAAGAGAGCCGCGAGAGAAACTATAACACAGTCGTCGGAGAAACTGATCGAGAAGCGTGACTTTAAAAGTCATAAAGTTGTGCCGATAATTAGTATTATGCCATCGCTTTATTAAAGCAAAAAAGAGCATGTCCTCAAGTGCGATAAAAAGGCACCATGACACTTAAGTGGGATTAATTAATTTAAGTCTTAATTAATTTTATAAAATTATAATGTCAACACAGTTCTTTAATCTTTTAGTAGTAATAAGTCTGACAGAGAACATAAATATCCATCTTTAATATTGAGAAATATTAAATTTAATAGTTTCAAGAATTTACAAGTTTAGCTCCTTATTTTACAATTTCGTTATAATGTATTTATAACTTATTTTTTTAATTTTAGTAAGAAACACAAATATTAAAAAGTATTATATTTAATAATTTCAGAGATTTGCAAGTTGGATTCCTAACCTTACGATTTCATTGTAATGAATTTGTAATTTATTTTTCATATTTTAACAAGAAACATTTAATGTTGAAAAATATTAAGTCTATTGTTTATTATTTGTCTATTCCTAATTATCAACAAAATAAATAGATCTTTCATTTCTCCATTGCCTATTATTTATTTTTCAACCCTATTAAAATTTAGAAAGTAAGTTACAAATACATTATAATAAAGTTTTAAAATTGAGAGTTGAAATTTGCAAATTTATAGAGATGTTAGACTTATTACTACTAAAGGATCAAATAACTTTGTTGGCATTCTAAAGTTAGCTGGGACTTAAATTAATTTATCTCCTTAAAACTTAACTATCTCCCCAATAAAAAAGCAATTACAAACATAAAATGAAAAACAAAAGCAGCTTTACTATATTGCAGCCAGGAGAATCTCATTGTAAGCCCATGGAACCAACATATTTTTATTAAAGGTCCAATAAAATTTGATATAATTGTATAGGTCTAAAATTTCTCTTGCAATTAAGTTTTTTTTTTTTTGATAAAAACATGAAACTATTCTTTTGTGAAATGCACAATAGAATATCTATAAATGACATTTAAAGTTCATTTATTAACAACAAAATATCCATTCACTTTACATAGTTCATGTGGTTTACACTTGTTAAAGTAGAAGAAATGTACAATTAATTTTACATAGTTTATAGTTAGTTATTGAAAAAAAAATTACAAGTAATTTTCCAAATGAAATTTGTAATAAAAACTCCGTACATAATATTTACAGTCCTTTTATTTATAACAAAACTTTCATTTATTTCACATAGTCTATGTAATTTACATTTGTTGAAGAAGAGATCTAAAATTTACAAATTATCTAAATAAAATTTACAATGAAACGTGCTTTCTATTGCATATCAGTTGACTGGAAGATTTCCTTCTGAATGAAGTTATGGTTGTCTTTTTAGTTGTGGTTGCACTTTTTTCCACATCTGCGTTGTTTGCGTTCTGTATTTGGCCCTAATAAAGTTTTCTTCTTGCTTTAAGTAAAAAAGAAAAAAATTGCATGTTGAGTTAGGCTACATTGTTTTATTTCATGTCTCTCCTTTTTTTTTTTTTTCCTTTTGGGTGAATTTTCATGTCTCTCCTTTACTCCCGTTGTCCCTTTTCCTTTCTCTTTTGTTTAAAGCATCAACATCCTCGTACATGATTACGTGTTACTGACTTTACAATATAATCATTTTATTCATTTTTTTTTAACCGGCCAAGTCCCATTCACTTGAATGAAAAATAAAGAACATTGAAAAATATTGATGTAATATTAAGGAAAACTGTATCCTTCCCATACCCAAAAAAAAAAAAAAATTTGATGATTCTCCGCAACGCACGTGCCTGTTTGGATTGCTTCATCAATCGATTTTTGGGGCCAAAAATTGGTTAATGAAAAAAGTTACTCAAACAGCAACTTTTTTGGTTTATCAATTTTTGGGGAAAAATGGATCTTTTTCAGAAGCTACCAATCTGAGCCATTGCGAAAAAGCTTATCAAAAAGCAATGGGGAAAATTATAAAGAAAGGCCCAATAAAAAATTGGAAGAGAAGCACAAAATTTAATAAAAAATAAAACTAAATTCTCTTCTCTTCTTTTATTTAGTAAGATTTGAAATTTAAACCATAAAAAAAGTCATTAGCATAAGTTCTTACCAGTCACCACCCTCCACTTATCACTTGCTATAAAGCTAATTTAATTAAAATACTAATTGATAGAGAAAAATTAATTTAATTTAATTTAAAATTGAGGGTCATTACAAAGATTGTTACAAAGGTACAGAGAGAGAAAGAGATTTTGCATCGTTTGTTACATTGCTATATTTTTTATATTGTCAAAATTTCTAAACAGTACTTCACATCTTTGTTAGATAAGACGTACATTGCTATAAGACTCATAATGTCATTAGAGATCAACTTGTACATTATCATCTTCATTAGTTGATGTTTGGTATTTAAGAATAAAATCTTTACCTTTTATTAAATTTATTTGAATTAAGATATATTGAGTTATTTATTTACGTAAATTAAATTGTTAATATTAATATAATTTAAATTTTTATAATTAATCAAATATATAATTTAAATAATATATTTTACTTTTTAAATATTAGATACAAATTTATCAATAATTTAATTTTGAAAGGCAATGTCATTTATGATAATTTATATAGCTAAAATTGATTCTGAATAAATTATCCAAATATCTTCAATTATGTTAAAATCAATCTTAGAAAAAACAGTATTCAAACAGATTGCGTTATAATATAATCAATTATGATTAAAATATACTATTTAATCAATTATTTTCATAACCTATTATACCCAATTGAAATCCAAACGAGCACTACATCAACATGATCCTATCCTATTTTCTTAGTCACTACTCAAAGAGCAATGAGCATATATATATATATATATATATGTATGTATGTATAACAGACAAATTGTACATATCAATTAAAACAATTTATAGTCTGAGCTCTTCTTAAAATTTGATGTCAAGAGGGTCCAATATCTATAACAAGCAAATTGTCAAATGAAGAGTACAATGACGAGCTGTTGAATCTCGAACTAGGGCTTGATGATGAGGATGATGATGACGAGAATGATGGCGAGGATGAGAAGAGTGAGGAAAAGGAAGAGCAAGAAATAGATGGAGAGAATTGTTAAGCCCAGTGACTATTGAAGATGAGGATGATGAATCAAATGTGATAGTCTTGGCACGAGAAATCAATGGCAAAGTGAAGAAGATGAGGAAGATGAGGAAGATGAGGAAAAAGACTACCTATATGGAAACAGTAAATTAAAATTATCCTAGCATACATGGATACCAATTTTAAAAGTATACCTAATTAATCTCATGTCTTCTTATTGTTGAATACTTGAATACGCTAGTGCAAATACTAATTTTTACGACGGTTAAATTTGCATTTTTGCGACAGTATACAAGATGTAGTGAAAAAAAAAAAGTATAGTAGTAATAATTAATTTTCAGGATAGTTAATAAAGGCCTATCACATAGTAGGTGAATTATGACGACAGTTCTATCGCACAACCATCGCCATAATTCAGTGCTTTTGTTTAAAAAAAAAAATGTTATACAATAGTGGCCCTTGATTTTGGATATTTTCATACAGAAACAAAGACGTGAACCTGACAATGAATGAGGCAAATCAATATATAAAACATGTTCATTCTAATACATGCATCATCACATACTATAGAAAGGGAAAAAAAAATAATTAAGTTCTCATCTTGACACAACCATAATGAACAACTGTAGTGCATAATTAAAACACACCAAAAAAAATTGACAACACATGTCCTTACTTCTCACAAATAAAAACATCTCCTATGTGATAGTAAGAGCATGTCTTCCCAGAGCAAGTAAGATCAGTCACCACTGTATCACTGAGGCGTCTTCCCTCTGCTTCTTTCCATGATGAAACCTGATTAGCTATACTGTTATAAATTATACAAGTACAATTATTTCAACCAGAACAAAACCAAAAAAAAAAAAAGATTACACAAGTCTCCGGGAGTTAAAAAAAAAAATGCATGAGCCCAGTTTAATGGTGAACAAGAAGTTACAATAAATCTTAGTAAATCTAGTTAGTTGGGATACTGTGCATTTTAATAGCAATTTACCCTTTTGTCCACAATCTGTTAATATTTCTTATGAAGAAAATTTTGAAGTAACTTCATACGAAACGATAATATAGAGGCTTACATTTTATTTTCATCGTACTAAGTTCTACAAGCACCGTGATGCACTGTGGGGGGAAACTGAGTCCTAACCTTCAAGACATGTTAAAGTGAAAAGGGTAATTTCGTATTCAAGGACCACTCAAAACAAATTAATTGTAAACAAAGATTGATAACAAGTCCCATTTTAAATAAAAAAAATTTACGTTCCCATTCTAATAAATTTCATTTTATATTAGTCATTATCTATAAATAATTTGCTTGAATAGTTCTTGAATGTAATTCTCCCAAGTGAAAATCTTAGAAATGCAGCAAAAGACAAAATGCTTTGTACTAAAAAATAAATCCTAAAGAAACAACAAATAGAAACAAGCTAATGTGTTTCACACGATTCACGTCTAAAAGAAATATTAATAATTTTCCACCTATCTAGCCATGTTTTTATAAGGCTAAAAATTAAATTTGAATAAAAATGAAAATTAAATAAGCTGGCCTTATCCTGCCTACTACCATCCGTTCCTTATATTAATATCAATAAAATTATCAGATAAAGTTATGATATTATCAGGCCTACTAATTAATTAAAGGGTTAATGTGTGTTTTTAACCATGACCTATTCTTTGAAAAGCATCCAATATCTTAAATTATTTGTCATCAAAATTTTGTCTCTAAATAATTAAAACATAACATATTTGCTCCTGACATTAAATATTCTAATGTTGAACGTTAAAACTGCTGATTAGAACTTAAGTTTGACCAAAATCAATCTTTTCATCACCAGATCGGATATTGAACTGAAAAGGTCAATAGCTCATGG